TAACACCATCAATATTCATTATACTAGTAAAAAATATGTTTTTCCCACCGATTCAAGGAAAGGTGAAATTAGCTAAGGTCACAAGATCTACTAATGGACTCCTTTGTGGCTAAGCACTAGCAAAGCCATCTATGTGCAGAGACATTTCACCCAAAAAAAAGAAAAAAAGAAAAAAAAAAGAAAAAAAAATGTGCACAGCATTTTCCCTGGCGGCATGTGGTTAAAAGTGTTTTGGATATGAAGCTTCTTTGGGATACTGTAGTTACTAAGTGACACAGAAATGGGATATGATTTATGTAATTTCAGAACCATTTTTCAAGAGAAGTACATGAAGTAAATTTTGGAGAGTTTCCCGTTGTAGGAATATAATATATATATATTTTTTTTCTTTTTGTTTTCCCAGCTAGTTTAGATCTAGTCTTAGGCAAGATCTGCACAGCTCTTGGTATGCAAGAAAGAATGACATATTGCTTCTTTTCTTTTCCATTTCTCAACCGTTAAAGTGAAACTCCTTATGTCTTCAGGAGGACTAGAGCTCGCCACAAGCATTGTCTCGGAGCCCCGCCACTCTAGTCGGCTCAGTAGGCCAAGCGAATGGACCAGCTTTCAACATATCGTGGCCTCGGAACGCTACTATGCTATTTGTTTGATTGTCATTATTACCTTTTTTTTTTTTTTTTATTCCATGCTTGGCAGTACTAAAGAGCAGATATTCAAAAGGACAGTTGTGGGGTGTACAATTTAGTTTTAAGAAAAAGCTGTTGTGTTTTCCAAGCATGTGGAAATCTTATTTTGATAATATATAAGTAAAAAAAAAAATACACATACAATGAAGTTAGTTAAGATTATATAAATGAAAACATGTATTGGCTTTAAAGAACACTCTTTAAAGAATTGGGGAAAAGAATTGTGTATGATTGATTGTGGAGGCTGTTCTTTTGAATCTTGTTTGGTCATGTCAATCATTGTAAAAATTGTTGTCAGTAACATGACAACCTTTTCTGCCATGAACTAGTGAAAGTGACCAACTGCTCCAGTCATGCTGACCACACTTTTGAAGACTGGAGTGGTGTCATTCCCAGTTCTCAACAATTTTGTCTTGTTGGACACTTTGTCTTTCACCAACTGCAAGCATTGATATACTGCCTGTCTGAATCTTTTTTGAACCCGAACACCTTTTGATGTATTTAACTTTTAGACCAGAAGCATGTCAGTTGTTTTTACTTTTGTATTTATTTACTAATCAGTGTGCAGACTGTAGAACATGAATATATGCATATTCAGGTAAAACTGACCAAATGCCAGTTAGCTAAAAAGGAGAGCCCAGTTCTATGCTTAGAATGTTGGATAGTACAAACAACAGTTTAGAATAAATGTTTGATATCAACATTTACTTTGGGCATTAGGTGAATCTTTACAGATATATAACATGAAATGGTGCTTTTATGTTGTTTTTATTTTTTTATTTAATAGTGGGGAAATTTATAGAACCGGATTTGCATAAACAGATATGCAGACGCCCTTAGCTTTAACACATGCTTAGGTGACTGAAGTTTGTACTTCGGTTTTGGAATTTGCGTTATTTTACTTTTATTACAAATTTTCATGGATGTGCCATCATTGGTGCTTGGAACTTTACTTTTTCATTAGTATTATGATTTATTTTTAAGGATCTATGTTACTTTACAGCTTTTAAGTTGGGCTTTAAAAATCTAAGTAGGACTTTTTAAGATAAATGTGATCTGGTATTACTTTGAAATTCTTAGAATCCTGGGGGTGTATTTGGAACAATTCAGTAAACATGTATTGATTTAGATATGATTTTTTTGCCTGGAACCATAATTTATTATTTATTTTTATTATTGATGTTCTTTAATGCACCCTTGGGTTTTAAAATGATATACCTTAGTTATACTTTTAGATTTGCAAACTTAAGTATTTATTTATTATTATAAATTATTTATTCTTTTTCAAGACAACTTTTTTTTATAAAGTTGGTATTACGGAAACTGCATTGACTGAGAATGGCACTAGTAAATTAAAAGTGTGTATTGCTTTGCTGATATGATGCGGAGCCATGCATGTTGATAAAATTTACTGATTGTGCATTAACTAAAGGTTTGCAAGAAGTTGCCCTGAAGTAGTTTCAAAGGTAAGTTTTCCTCGAAGTACATCAAAGCAGAAAGTACATAGCAAGTAAAACAAGTGGGCTGGGAAAGCAACAAGACCCTACTTGTAGCATGTTGGGTTATATTACATTTTTGATATATTTTTTAACTATATCTTAGAGGGATTTATTGGTACTTTCAGGATGGAAAAGTGTAGGATTAGATTACTTGATAAGAGACCAGGAAAAGGTATTATTTTACTATTTTTGGACTTTACATGTAAGAATGACTTACTGGTTTGGTATGCGAGATCTTTTGGAACACAATCAGCCGCAGTCTTAAAGCGTGCCAAAGGTATGGCTAAGTCTTAAGTGTTTGTAGTGTGGCTATTGGAAATCAGGAAAGAGAGAGAGAGAAAAAAGGTAAAAGCTAGTCAGATTTTTCTTTCTTTTTTTCTTTTTTTTTCTTTCGCTAAAGTGTTTCATCAGCTGCAATTACTGTTGTATTTTTGAGTCATTGTTTTATGTCTTGAAATTATTTATTTCAACTTTTTTTTTTTTCATCCTTTTTATAATTGTTTCCTGATCTTTATTCCTAGCTTTGAAACTGCTAGTCATGGTTTTCAGCCAAAAGAATTCTAGCTGTGAAATGAAATTTGACCAGTGATAGAATTTTATATTCAAATATCCTAACCAGTGTGGTTGTGAAATTGCACCCAGTGTGTCTGTTTGGGTTGAAATGATTGTAGCTTAACAGACATTAATGGATCTAGTTGTAGGTAGTTGTAGTTACCACACCTAATGGTTGAACTTGTAAGAGGACCCAATGTATGCCTTTTTTTCCCATTAGTGTGATTACAGGTGTATTCTGAGATATTATTAAGACCTTTAACTTTGTGGTTGTTGTCAAAGACAGTTTTGTTCTTCTTCATTTTCTTTATTTTGATAGTGGCTGTTTATATGCTTTCAGAGATTATAGTATCTGATTTATAGTTTTTTTTCTTGATTCACATCTTTTAGAAATGATTGAAGAAAGACAGCAGATGCAACTTTGAAGAAGAGTGTTGTACATTTCAGTTTGATTTTCTGGTTCTCTCCAGATTTCAGTCGAGTCAACTTATACAATTTATAGGTTGTGACGTCTGCATTCACAGGAAAGAATGTCAGAGGTGGTCCGTATGAGTTCAGCTTTTATGTAGTGATGTAGATGTACATTCATAGATGATTTGTAATATAACTGTAGCTTCAACATTTTCCAGTTCAAACAATTGTCAGCTCCACTCGGATCCACTGTGCATTGATGTAAGCTGTAAATTGAATTACCCAGTATCCCACCCATTCTAGAATCCATGTTGAGGGGGAACATGCTTGCTGTTGGAAAGGGTTGTCTTTTGAGGGGGGGGAGGGGGGTGTCACACTCTCTGAGAGCTTCAGAGTGTCGGCAAAGAGGGTTGGTCAGTAGGAGAGGTGGCAAGGGCAGGTACATGGCTCTTAGGGTTTTCTGAAAGATTTACTTGTTATTGTATACAGCCAAATGGAATGTATTTTTGAAGTCCTTCATTTTTGTCTTTTGAGTAAGTTCATGAATGTAAACAGATAATATTTTTAATCTGTGTAGGGTATGTAAGTAATATTAAAACAAAAAAAGTCAATAAATTAGTGTTGTCCTTTAAATTCTGATATTTTTAAAGCTTGAAATTCAATAACTAGGAGTATATATTTCCCTCCCTTTTACAAAAATGGAAGTAAGGCAGATATGGAATTAAAAGAACAGTCATTATTGCACTAGTTATAATTGAATCTCATTGAACCAAATTATATTAATAAGATGTCATTTTTATTGGATATTACATGTAAGAAGGTTTACCCAGCTTTTAGATATTAATGTTAACAACCTGATCACCCCATAATAATATAACATACAAGAGGAAATTTTTTGTTTTTGTTTTTTTGGTGTACAAATTATTATTAGAATATTTGTTTCCTACTTTTATAGGAAGTACATACCTCCAAAGTTATCTCTCTCTCAGTCAGCCAGATTGCCACAGTGTCTTTGCTTCTTTTTAAGGTCTAGAGTGTAATGAGTACGGAACACAGTATATATTGCATCCTTGCTAGGAACCCCAAGGAGGTGGCCAGAACAAGTGGGACATTGGATGGGTTGAAATGACCAAGTGATCTTGAATTAATCTCCAACAACAGACTGCCTAATGGGCGACCAAACTCTCATCTCATCTTCGTGAGACCCATTTTTAACTGATAACAGATCACCGACTGCAACGCACAGTCTTGTGTTACATTTTCCATTGTAGAATATCGAGTTACTGTAAAGTGTATCCTATGCTACAACCATTTTAGTGATTTTTGTACTAATTCTTCCTTCATATCTATTGAGATTAGGGATTGGTGACTATGCTGTATTCCTACTTTTGTAATCCATGTGAATAGTCATCCAAGAGGAACTTGAGCATATGCATACTTTTATAAACTAGCATCTACTACTATAGGGTTGGTGGGGTTAATCTTATGATATACAATAATCTATGACCTTAAGATACTGGGAAGTTCTTGTAATTAGGGTATAATTTTGTATTGCTGAGGCTTTGTATTTTTTAAGTGATTTGCCCATATAATTTCTGCACAGAAAGTATTGATCATGGAGTGGTTAACAGTGACAGGGAAACAGCCTAGGATTGTGAACTGTAATTGCTTTGTTTTATTTAGTTCATATATGAAATATCTACATGTGTGAATGTGATGAGGAAATCAAAAAAGACAACAAAGACAGCAAAAAAAACAAATAGCCTAAAGCTAATGTGTTTATTTATTTAGATTTACAAAATGTCATAGTCATTTTTTATCTTATAAAGCTGTAGTGTTCAGGATATGACGT